TTTCCAACCCCTCCATCTCCTTTATTGACTCCTCCCCTCAGCCAGATTGCAGGTCTGGGACTCTGTCCTGGGCCCTCCCAACCTTCTCCATCCACCTTCCCTGGGTTGGCTGCCTCATCCACGCAGAGGTCTCGGCCTAGTCACTGATGATGCCACCCCTCTGTCCCCAGATCCAGGGTTTCTGCAGCCTCCTGGATGCCTCCCCCTAAATGACTTCCAGCCCCTCACTCCCAAACAGTGTCCTAAACTGGCCTTAGCATCTCCCCCAGACATGCTCCTTCTTCCCAGCCCCATCTCAATGTGGCTTCCGCCTCCTTCCCCTGCTCTCCTGCCCTGATGTAGTCCCTCTCCAGGGCTCCACCTGGTCCAGGTGCTCCCCCCAGGGGCCCTGTCCTGGCCTCCTCCCTAGGCTCAGTCTCCACCTCTGATCTACTCTACTGCCCTCTGCACAATGGCCTGTCCGGGTTGGCCCGCTTCCCTGCCTTCAAAAGTCTTTGGCTTCTCCGGTCTAATCTGATCCCAAACATCCAGAGTCCACCTTGGTGGCAGCTCCAAAAAGGCGGGGATTTTTCCTAGTCCCCTTTGGATCCCCAGCACCAAGACTAGGGTCTGGCACTGGGTAGGGGTTCCAGAACCATGCAGAATGGAACAAATGAACATCTACTGTGTCCTGGACCAGGCCTGGGCCCTGCAATGGCCCTCAGAAAAACACAGTCCTCACCAACTCACTCTCCTGCTTCAAACCCCTCCAACACCCCTTTCCGCCATCACTCACTACTCTGGTTCCAAACGTCTCTGAATAGGAACCTCCCTTACAAACATATGTAAAGCCTTTTGTTACTTTAAGATTGTATGAGCTGAACAAAAAGCTTGACCATTAGACAGTGTATAACTTGCGGGCACTTGCCTCATAATTCCCTTGCCCCCCAACCCCCCACTTCAAGAGAACCACTATTAACAGTACAACAGTAATTACTCCAGACCTCTTCTGTTTCACCAGAAATGGGTCATACCACAGTCTGATGCTGCACTTTGCATTTTGCACAGAACAATATCCAACAGACCCACCTCGTTCTTCTAAACAGCTACATAGTGTTGCATTGTAAGGAGGCACCAGAGTTCATTTAACCTGTCAACTGTCAGTAACTGTCAGCCGTTTGGGCAGTTTCCAGTTTTGCCCTATCACAGACAATGCTGTAGTTTACATCCCTGAATCTCTCTCTTTGGGACTGAGGATCCCTTTTTCCCATGAGACCTTTTTCTCTGACAGTGGTCGTGCTTTGGGAGCCAGGCGAAGGAGAAGCCCGGCCTGACGGGAAGCTCTTCCACCCTCTGTGTGGCTCTGCCGAGCATCTACAGGATGCTGGTATCACAGCCCCTGCCTTGCCCTCCATCTGAACCGCGATCCTGTGTCCGTGGGTGCGCTGGCACGCTTTCAGGTTGCGGACAGTGAGGCTCTGTAGAAGGATTTGAGGGCCCTGCCCAGCACGTGGGAACAACTAGGCCTGAGGGGGAGCTGGAGGTGCCGGTCAGGCCTCTGCGAGACTGAAATGAAGTGTCCGCAAGGCAATGTGCTGGGTGCAGGGTGGGTTGCAAACCCACCCCTGCTCTTCTAGCCAAGGGAGAGAGGACAAGTCACTTAACTCTGCTTCAAATTTCACATCTCTAAAACGGCCAAAATAGGCCTCACTCCTAACAGGGATACCAGGAAGATGAAATGAAATGAAATGACGCTTGTGGAGCATTAACCAGGGTACCCAGCTGCAGTTAAGTGCTCAAAAAATGCTAATCATGAATATAATTAGCTGACCACTACTGAACCCGGCACACTCTTTCATGCCCCCCAGGGTTTGCACAAGCTGTACTTTCTGCGTGGGACACCATTTCTCACCTTGCCGAAGAAAATTCTAAGTTTTCCTACACTTACTACCATGGGTCTGTATCTCAACCTGACTCCTAGATCAGCCTGTGGAGTCCTCCAGGGAGGGGCCTGGCTGAAATCTCTGTGACCCTACAAAGTTTACTCTGGGCTCCCAAAGTGCCCTGAGCTATTTTTCATTATCACCCTGTAGGGTCACTTCTCCATGAGATCTGTGAGTTCAGGGACCAAATCTCTCCCATGCCTAGCTCAAATGAGGTTCAGAAGGGATAGAGGGAGGGCAAGGAGAGAGGAAAGTTTGGGAGGGTTGGCCTGGGGTTGAGGCTGCACACCCTTCCCTGGCAGTACCCAGAATCCACCATTCCCAGGGAGGCTGAACCCAGAGGTGGGGTGAGGGACTAGGGCAGTGAGCTGAGGACCCTGGGGGAATCTGTCTCCCCTCTGCCACCTCCCCCCTGTGTGGGCTGTGGGGTGTGGGGTGTGAGAAGTCCATTTCTCTCCTTCCCTCCGCCCTCTCCCCCATCTCACCTGAGCCTCCTGCACCTTCCCTGCCTGGGTCTCCACAGGGTCAGAGGCTGGGGGAGGAGGGGGAGCAGACGTCGTTAAGGTTACGGTGAAGGGAGTGGTTAAGAGGGAATGAAGGGCTTCAAAGCAGCAGGGCAGAGGCGGGCAAAAGACCCACCAAGTTAGTTATACTGGAGTGGGGGTAAAAATCAAGTAGAGGGAGGGAAGGGATGGGGGAAAAGCAGATCTTAGAATGGCGAGTGCCGAGAGTAGAGTGAGTTAGTGAGGGACAAGAGGCTGGGCCAGGAAAAGTTAGGAGAGGGAGGAGAAAGTAAAGCATACAGGGCATAAGAGACTTAGGAGGAGTCAGGAAGGACATGGTAGTGTGTGAGTGTGTGCTGGGAGGATTAGGTTTACAAGCAGAGCGAAGTGCAGAAAAGGAGAAGATAAGAGATACTCCGCCTGGAGGCGGGTTTGGGAGAAGAGGTGGTGCGGGGGATGGTAGGTTTAGGAGAGGAAGAAAGAGATAGGGGACACGAAGGGTCCCCTAGCATCCTACAGTTGCCACTAACCACCAGGTACCCTTAGCAACTGGGACTGCGGCATCCTAAGTCCCTAGCAACGAGGGTCTTTAGCAACTAAGGTGCGAGAAACACGCGATCATTAGAAACTTGTGGGACGTGGCAAACGGACCCTTAAAACCTCGCGACCCAGAAACCCACCAATCTAGCAATCTGGATCACTTGGCGACAGCCCCCCGAATCCCATTCCCCCCCAAATACCCCCCTATCTCCTACCCCACCACGCCCGCCCTCGGGCCCCGGGGCCTGCAGCCCTCAGTCAGGCCCCAGCGCGGCCCGACCCTCCCATTGGGGCCCCTGACTCACGATCCGGCTCGGCCATGGGCGCGGGGCGGGGGCCCTCGGGACTGTCACCGACGCTCTGTCCCGTGACGGCACCGGAAACAGGAGGGGGCCGAGATAGGGCAGAGAACTACAACTTCCAGCAGCCATCGCGGCTGCATACAAGATTTCCCACGGCGACTAGAGCGCGCCCCTCTGAGGTAAGGAAGACACGCAAAGGCCGTACTACGATTCCCAGAGTGCCCCGCGCCCACAGCCATGTTGGTAAAGGGCGCCCGGAAAATGTGGGAAAGGGTAGAGAGCCGCTGCCCATCTGAACACTCTGATTGGTCACGGTGTGATATGGGGGCGGGGCGTGTACAATTTAGCCCACTCTGATTGGATGAGTCAGGGGGGAGTGTTGGGGAATTCCCCGCAGGGCGGAAGTGCCGGAATTCCAGGCAGAGCCCAGACAGGCGGGCAGCCGCTGGGGGCCCCTGAGGCTTCGGGGGCCATGGCCGGGGTCGCGTGCTTGGGGAAAGCTGCGGACGCCGACGAATGGTGCGACAGCGGCCTGGGCTCTCTGGGTCCGGATGCGGCGGCCCCCCGGAGGACCGGGACTAGGCGCAGAGCTGGGCCCGGGGCTGTCGTGGGCGCCCCTCGTCTTCGGCTTCGTCACTGAGGATGGCGACACGTGAGTGAACCTTAGTCGGCCAAGCCGGGCCCTAGGATCCCACATCTGATTCCCTGTTAATCTCGGATCCTGACTTCCCAACCTCTCACTTCTAAATCTGTCTTCCAATGCTTGACTTCCTGACCTCTAACCCCAAGTCTAACCTTTGATAAAACCAATTTCCTATCTAGTTTTGATCCTAACCCAGTAATTTCTGACCTTCTTTTGTGGAACTCTGGTTCTCATTGTTCCACATCCATTGATGGATGCCACATCCAAAACTCGATCTGAACTTCCTGACCCCAATCCTGAGACCTCTGTTAGGACAGTGGTTCAGACAGGCTCTTCCTGATCTTTAACTTCCAAATATGATCTTTGATCCTTAGCTCTTTAGATGTTGATTTCCGAAATTAATACTTGGCTATTGACTCTAAGATCCCACTTTCTGAACACTAATCTTCAAATCTTACATTCAAAGAGAAAATATAAACTTCGTGACAGCAGGGAGTCATCTGTTAAATAAATATTTACCCAACATCTACAATGTTCCAGGCCCTGTTTTAGATGCTGGTGATAAGGCAGTGGAGAAAACACAAAAACTTAGGCCCTGTGGAGCATACATTCTAGTGGGGTTTTATAGACAGAAAGACAGACAGAAAGAAATGGAGGAAGGGCAGGAGGTAAAAAAGAGAGAGAAGGAAAGAAAGAAACAGAAAGATACATAGACACAAAGTAAGAGAGAGAAGAAAAGACAGGAAGAAACAAAGACAGAAAATGAAAAAAAAATTAAGAAGAAAGACAGAAAAATGGTATGTCAGAAGAGAGTAAGTTCTTTTGAGAAAAATAAAGCAGAAAAGTGAGACAAGTAGATGATCTGGGGAGAGCATTCCAGGTAGAAGGAACAACGTTGTAAAGACCCAAGTGAGGGAATGTACCTGGGGTTTTTGTGTGGTGTTTACTGCCGTATCCCCAGTGACCAAACAGTCCCTGACCCATAGGAGGCGCTCAAGAAACACTGGTCTCAAAGAGTCAGCTGTGGTTTCATTTATTTTCTCTATTGGTGATTTTGTTTTTTGTTTTTTGTTTTTTTGTTTTTTATCTTTAATTTAGAAATTTGTTTTTGCCTTCTGTTTTGTTGGTCTCTGTTCTTTCATTATTTCCTTCTGCTTACTTTGGGTTTGATTTTTTCTTCTTTTTCTAGTTTCTTCAGGTGGAAGCAGAGGTCATTTGATTTGAGACCTTTTCTTTTTTTCTAGTTTAGGTGTTTCAAGCTATAGATTTCCTGGAGTAGTGCCTTAGCAGTATGATGTGCTGAAGTGCTGTGTTTTTATTTTCACTTAATCCAATGTACCTCTTAATTTCTCTTTTGAGGGGGTGGTAGAGTGTATGCTTAGCATGCATGAGGTCCTGGGTACCTCAATCCCCAGTACTGCCATTTAAATAAGTAAATAAATAAACTGGACCCCCCCCAAAAAAAAGCAGCCAAAAGAAAAGAGAAGGGGGAGGGTATAGCTCCGTGGTCGAACACATGCTTAGCATGCACAAGGTCCTGGGTTCATTCCCCAGTATCTCCATTAAATAAATAAATAAATAAATAATTAAATAAATAAAAAATAAACCTAATTGCCTCCCCCACAACAATAAAAATAACTTGTCTTTTGATTTCTTCTTTGGCTGGTGGATTATTCAGAAGTATGTTATTTAGTTTCCAGATTTTCCAGATATCTTCCTTTCACTGGTTTTTAAATTTAATTCCGTTATGGACAGAGAACATTGTATAACTTGAATCCTTTTAAATTTTTTTTGAAAGGGTGAGGTGATTAGGTTTATTTATTGATTTACTTCTTTTTTTTAATGGAGGTACTGGGGATTGAACCCAGGACCTCCTGCATGCTAGACATAGACTTTACCACTGAGCTATACCCTCCCCCTTGTTTTTTATTTTAGTGGTTGCTCTGAAAGACAGAGGTTGGCAAACGATGGCCTCCAGGCAAAATCTGGCCAACTACCTGCTTTTGTCTGGCTGGGAGCTAAGAATGGTTGTTACATCTGTAAATGGTTGGAAAAAATTAAAAGAAGAATAATATTTTGTGGCAAGTGAAAATTATATGAAACTCAAATTTCAGACTCGATAAAGTAAGTTCTTTTGGAATCCAGCCATGCCCACTCATTTACATATCTCCAATGGCTGCTCTTGCATCCTGACAGCAGAGCTGAGTAGATAAAAGAGAGACCACATCATCCATAAAGCCTGAAATATTTATCTGGCCTTTTACAGAAAAAAATTTGCTGACTCCTGCTTTAGGGCTTATAGGGCACCACTTTAACTTATTATGGTCTATCTTCAAGTGATACTATGCCACTTCTTATAGTGTAAAAGAACTTTAGTATATTTTCTTTTGTTTCTTCCTGGCCTTTACGCTATTGTGGTCATAGATTTTACTGACATGTGTTACAAACTCCACCAGACATTGTTCTTACTTTTTTGCTTAAGCAGTCAATTCTTTTTTTAAAAATTGTCTTCTAAAGAGATTTACATAGTAAGAAACAAAACCTTTTTAATTTAATTTTATTTTTTCCCCCTTAATGGAGGCACTGGGGATTGAACCCAGGACCTTGTGCATGCCAAACATGTGCTCTACCACTGAGTTATCTCCTACCCCCCAGGAAAGAAAATCTTATGTACTTACCCATATAGTTATTATTCTCACTGTTCTTTATTCTTTTGTATGAATCCATAGTTCCATTTGATATCATTTTCCTTTTGCTCACAGGTTTCCTTGAACATTTCTTGTGATGTGGGTCTCCTGGTGATGAGTTCCTTCGGCTATTGTATAGTTGAAAGCATCTTTATTTTGTCTTTGTTTTTGAAGGATATTTTTGCTGGGTTAAAGAACTCTTAAATTGATGGTCCATCTTTGAGTACTTTTAAGTTGTTGCTCCATTGTGTTCTCTTGGATTATTTCCTGTGTGAAGTCTGCTGTCCTCCTTATTTTTATTTCACTGTACTTAAGGTGTCTTTTCCTCTGGCTGCTTTGAACAGACAATAATTTAATTTATTAAAGACAATAAATTCATCTTCATTGTTGCCTTTGAACAGATTTTTTATGATGGGCCTCAGTGTAGTTTTTTTTTCATATTTCTCATTCTTGAGAGTCATTGAGCTTCTTGGAGCCGTGGGTTTATAGTTTTCATCAAATTTGGAAAAATTTCCAGACATGATTTCTTCAAATATTTTTTCTATCCCTCTCCTCCTTTAGGAACTTTAGTTACAAAGATATTAGGCTGCTCGAAGTTGTCCAATTGCCTACTGGTGTCCTTTTCATTTTAAAATATTCTCTTTGTGTTTTGTTCTGGATAGTTGCTGTGGTGAAGTCTTCAGGTTCATTAATCTTTTCTTCTGCAGTGTCTCATCTGTTGTTAATCCCATCCAGTGTATTTTTCATTTCACGTGTTGTAGTTTTTATTTCTAGGAGTTCAGTTTGAGTCTTTTCCTTTTATCATCTATGTCTCTACTTGTTGAAGGTATGAGATACAGTTATAATGAACTGTTTTAATGTCCTTGATTGATAATTCTACCATCTAGGTCATTGTCATTTGATTGATTATTCTCATTATGGATCATGTTTTCCTGTTTCTCTGCATGCCTGATAGTCTTTGATTAGATGCCAGACATTGTGGATTTTTACCTTGTTAGGCTGGCTAGTTTGGTATTCCTATAAATATGCTTGAGTGTTGTTCTGGGGTGCAGTTAAGTTACTCGTAAGTAGTTTGATCCTTTTGGGTTTTGCTTTTATCATTTGTTAGGTGGGTCCTGAGCACCCATCTGATCTAGAGTTTATTATTCCCACTGCTGAGGCAAGTCCTTTCTGAGTATTCTACCCATTATCCTGTGAAGTAGGGGTTTTTCTAGTCCTCGTCCTGTAAGAGCACTGGGGCTTCTCTCTCTAATCCTTTTGTATGGTATTCCCCCAGGCTAGGGTGGTTTCCTTACACTCATGCACTGACCAGCATTCTCCTAAATACTCCGGAGGCCCCTCTGTTAATCTCCAGGGTCTCTTCCTGTGCAGCTCTCTCCTCTCTGGTTCCCTGTCCTGTGACTCCAGCTGCTCTGCTCTCCCAAGACTCAACTCTGTCTCCTCACCTCAGGCAATCTGCCTGGGTTCTGCCTCTCTGCATCATGGCTTGGAAACTCTCCAGACAGTAAGCTGTGGCAGTCAATGAAGGGCCCAGTGAGCTTGCTGCCTGTCCTTCAGGGTCACTGTCATTCATTGCATGACATCTAGTAACTTGAGAACTGTTGTTTCACATACTGTATTTTGTCTGAGTTTTTGGTGGATTCAGATGGGAGTGAAATCTGGTCCATGTTACTTCATCTTGGGAGGAAGTAGAAGTCCTACTTAATAAGCATTAATTAAACAAATTTGCTGAATTAACTCTGACCAGACCCTCCAGACTCCTGACAATGGGTTCTAGAACTGTGCTCATAATGCCTAGTACACAGTAGGTGCTCCACGTTTGTTGAATGAATACATGTAAGAGTACTTGACTGCTGCCTTCTGACTGCTGTCCTTGTCCTCAGGGCATTGCACTTGGCGGTAATTCATCAGCATGAGCCCTTCCTGGATTTCCTCCTAGGCTTCGCGGCTGGCACTGAGTACTTGGATCTGCAGAATGACCTGGGCCAGGTGAGCCACCTGTGGACGGTGTTGGGCTTGGGAGCCAGGATTCTCAGTGTGACCCCCTAACCCCTGCCTTCTGCTCCTACAGACAGCCCTGCATCTGGCAGCCATCCTGGGGGAGGCATCCGCAGTGGAGAAGTTGTACATGGCAGGTGCCGGGTTACTGGTGGCAGAGCGTGGGGGACACACGGCACTGCACCTGGCCTGCCGCGTCGGGTCACATGCCTGTGCTCGCGTGCTGCTCCAGCCTCGCCCCCAGCGCCCCAGGGGAGTCCCCAACACCTACCTCACCCAGGGCTCTGACCATACTCCTGATGCCAACCATAGCCCTGTTGCCTTGTACTCTGAACCTGACTTGGAGAAGGAAGAGGATGAGAGTGAAGAGGACTGGAAGTTGCAGCTGGAGGCTGAAAACTATGAGGGTGAGGGTCCTCAGTCATGGGGAAGGGCCGGGCTCCCAGGCAGGGCGAAAGCACCTGGCTCTGGGCTCAGCTCTCCTGACTCAAAGCCCTTAGGAAATAACACCAAGGCCCCAGGAACGCAGGCAGCAGGACCAAGGACTCCTGCTCAGGCCCCAGATTACTGAGAACCACAGGTCCCAGCTCACCCAGGATGAGGGAATTCAAGGCCCAGGACCTCTATGAGACTCTGGCAGCCTGGGTTCCCAGAGATTGACATTGGGGTTCAGGGACAGCCCTCCTCAGCCAGGCCTCCTGGGGAAAAAGACCCTGTCTACCCAGGACCCTGGCATATGAGTCTCAGCTCCCTCATCTCTAAGCCCAACTACTTGGGACCAGGCCACACCACAAAGGAACTGACGTCATCCAGGGCCCAGTGTTCAGGGCCCACCCCACCCCCTAAGGTACAGGCCCTTCAGCTACTCAGGACCCAGGAATTTGGGGTTCTGGTTCTATGTAAAGTGAGACCAGAGACTCAGGTCTCCTGGCCCAAGATCCAGGCCTCTTGTCCACAGCCCTCCGGCTCTTCACTCATAGGCTCCAAACATCCCACAACCCAGCCCTGGCACTGCCTGAGACTTAGGCATTTGGGATTCGGGGGCCTCCTGGATATACCTAGGAATTCAGGAGCCAGACCCCAAACTCCATCACCCTGAGGCCAGAAGGCCCATCCCCAGGATCGTGGCACTGGGGGCCCAGGCTCCTCACCCCTGTCATCTGACATCAGTCACTCTGTCCTCAGGCCACACCCCACTCCATGTGGCCGTCATCCACAAAGATGCAGAGATGGTCCGACTGCTCCGAGAGGCCGGAGCTGACCTCAACAAACCGGTGAGGCACTCCAGGGAGAAGGTGTGGCAGGGTGGGCGGTGTCCCGCAGATTGGGGCAGGGTCTCCTCTGACCTCTCTGCTGCACTCCTCAGGAGCCCACGTGTGGCCGAAGCCCCTTGCACTTGGCAGTGGAGGCCCAAGCAGCTGATGTGCTAGAGCTTCTCCTGAAGGCCGGTGCCGACCCTGCTGCCCGCATGTATGGTGGCCGCACCCCACTCGGCAGCGCCACGCTTCGGCCCAACCCCATCCTTGCCCGCCTCCTCCGGGCACACGGAGCCCCTGAACCCGAGGATGAGGATAAGCCCGGCCCCTGCAGCAGCAGTAGCGACAGCGACAGTGACAGCGGGGACGAGGGCGTGAGTCAGGAGGACAGACGGGGAGGCCCAGCTGGGGGGGTCAGGGTAAATGGGCAGGTGGGAAGGGGGAAAAGAGAAATTAAGGAAATGATACTTATATTGGGCTGCTGTGATTAGAGAACTCAGGCAGCAGTGCAAGTGGTATCAGGCAGCGGCCAAGGGAGACCTAGACAGGGGTGGCGGGGAGAACCCAGGCAGTGGTGGTTGAGAAATTAAGACAACGGCAGAGGGAGAACTCAGGCAGAGGTAGAGAAAACACCTTGGTTGTAGTGGTTGGGAAGCATGGGCGACAGCAGGCGGCAGCAAGGGGAGTTGTTTTGGAGAACAAGAGTTGGAGAACTCAGGCTGCGGGAATATGACCTTGGGCAGCAGTGATTTGAACACTGGCAGCAGTGGGGAAAGACCTGAGCCTGCGGTGAGGTTTCCCTGGAGACCCGGGCAGCAGAGACACTGCTGTGGGCAGGGGCTGACGTTGAGCGGTGGGGGTTGAGGAAAGTGGGAAAGGCTGGGGGGGAGGGGGGGAGGGGGAGACCTCGGTGGCTGAAGGACTGGAGAGGCAGCAGGGCTGGGGCCCCGGCAGTAGTGCTGGGAGAACGCAGGCGACCTTGAAAGTGGTGGTTTGAGAACTAGGAGTAGTGAGGTTGAAGCAGGAGCGAGGAACTCGGGCTTCAAGGCAACAGCCGATTCTCAGGGTAGGTGGAAGAACTTGGGCAGTGGGCAAGGTGGCAGCCGCCTGAGCCCCTCTGCCTGGCCCCCTCTGCCCCTAGGATGAATACGACGACATCGTGGTCCACAGTGGCCGGAGGCCAAACCAGCTACCTCCCACCCCAGCCTCAAAACTGCTCCCTGACGACCCCATCTGACTTAATTGTTAATAGAGTTTCCAGTTTAATAAAATCCCAGTTCTGACAACCAGTGTGTAGATCGAGATTACTCCTGAGCTCCTGTCCCTCCAAACTCAAGTGCGGCGCAGTAAGCCCCAATGGTTTTCTTCGTGCTTTATTCACTCGGGAGGGTTGGAGTGGGTTAGACGGTGTCAGGGCTATTTCCTGAGTCAGTCTGAGCTCAGACTTGGCCCCTCAAGGCCTGGTTCCAAGGCACACCCTTCTCCCCACTCAGGCAAATTGGGGAGCAGAGTCGGGCGCCAGGTTGTGGGGGGGTGTTGTGTTGGGGGTCAACAGGCCTGAGCCGTAGGGTGTGTCGGGAAGGAGGACCTGAGGTCCGGGGTCAGCCCTCTCTCCTGAGCTCCTCGCCCAGCATCTCCGTCGCCTTCTTCAGCTCATCTCTCACATGCTCCAGCCGCTCCACATCATGCTCCTGGTGGGGTCAGAAATGGTGTGCTCAGCACCCACCCTCAAAAGTGGGCCACCTCAGTGGTCGCTCACAGTGGCAGCCAACTGTGGTCATCCTAGCCATCATGGGCTGCGATGGTGACCATACTGGTTGCCACAAGCCTGAAAGAGGTCAGCTAACATGACCCATGGTGTCTGCCCCGGCCAACAGCAGCAGACGGAGGACTAGCCAAGGTGCTCAACTTGGATGCCTCCACCCGTTCATGAGGTGATGGCCACTTTAGTAACTGCCACTGATCACGGTGACATCTTTACTTTCCATAGCCCAGCAATGGTGTCCACCTGTATCCCAATGAACCAGGCACACCAGCCTCTCTTCACAGTAGCCTCTCTTCACAGTGGCCAACTTGCTGGTTACAGACTAACTCGGACGCTTCTGTGCAGTAACGGGGGCCACCCTGGTCAAGTAGAGACCCTGCTTAGATGTTGCTGCCTAGTCCTGGTGTCAGTCCTGGTCACAATGACCCATTCGGGGTGGGCCTTGCTGCTTATGGCCCAACACTGGTAGCTGTTTGGTACTAAGTCCACTGGCATCTGGTCTGCCCCACTCCCCCACTGCCTCCTCCACTCACCTCCCTGTCCCAAGCCTCTTCCTTCTCCTCCTGCTTGGGCTCAGCTGCTGGCTGGTGGAGATGGTGGTGGTGCGGAGAGTCCTCGTGCCTCTCTCCTCCACCCGCCTCAGCCCCCTGCCACAGGCTGCGGCCCCCGCCCATCACCTGCAACCCCTTCTCCTCTGCCTCGAACTGAGCCGTCTCCTCATCACTGGTCTGCTCTGCCACTTGCTTCCCGGGACCCCCGCCACCTCCTCGATGCTGCTTCCACAGGCCCTCAAAGGTCTCCACAGGCCCCCTCCTCTTCTCCTCCTCCTCCTCCTGGCGGAGCCGGCTGTGGAGCTGCTCGTGGATGGCCTGTTCGTGCACCTCGGACTTGTGGGTCCTTTCTCCTGCCTCGTCCTCTTCCTCGTCCCTCACCTCCTGGCTGGACCTTGTCTTTGCAGCCTCTCGCTTTTTAAAATCCCCAACCAGCAGGCCTTTCTCCTCGGCGGGCCCACAGCCATAGGGCTCTGTCTCACACATTTCTAGTGGAAAGAAAGGATGTTCTCTGTGCAGTCAATCAGGAAGCAGACCTGGCGAGTTCTGGGGCCTGCCCGAGGTCCTACAGGGGGACTGCCCAGAACTGGGAGAGGAGGGCCAGGTGCCAGGAGACAGTCTCCGTCCCCATCCTGTACCTCTGCAGGGAGCTCCAAGGGTGGGGCTGGGGGGTGCAGGCTCCTTCTCTCTGGACGCACTGGGCAGTGCCGTGCCAGCCCAGATGATGGGGCTCCAGGATAAGAGGACACCCCTTCCTCCAGGCAGCCCTGGGCCAAACCCTGGTGGGGTGGCTGCTCCTAGGAGGGGGACCTGGGCCCTCCTTACCTTTGTGTAGGAGAGCCATGCAGGGGCCTCGGTTGGCCTGGCCCAACATCAGCACTTCTGTGACCACCTCTGCCAGACAGCGGGTCAGCTGGGGGTGAAGGGTCAGAGGGGAGGTTGAGGGCAGGGCAGATGGGGAGAATGAGAGCAGCTGGTTTGGAGGAGAGACAAGGATCATGGAGGGGGCTGGGCAGGGAGGGCCAGGGGCAGGGCCCCAGGGAGATGAGGCTGGGCAAGGGGGCCACATTCCTCACCTCCTCCTTGGAGGGTCTTGGTGCCAGGGGAACTGCGTGGCTGTGGAAGAAGGACATGGGTGCTGGGCTCAGACCCCAGGGGCTGTCCCTGGTGCTGACTCCAGCTCCGAGGTCGTCCAGGGACCTGTGGGTACATCCCCTACCCCAGCCCACTTGCATCGTCTCTACCTGGACACTTGGCCCATGAAGTCTCTAGTCTGACCGCGCTGGGTGCACCATCCCTGACCCTGGTCACCCAATTCCCTGCTCCCCAGGCTGGCTGCTTAAGTCGCCCTGGTTTCTGGCGCTCACCTGCCCTGAGCAGCAGCACTAGCAGGGAAGGCAGCAGCAGCATGGAGGTGGGCCCGTGGCGCTGCATGGTGAGGTGTCCAGACCAGGGTCCTTGGCGCTGTGCGGGCTGGGGTGGCAGCTCCTTATAACCCATCGCCCCAGTGGCCCCACAGGGGAGAGGAAGTGATGTCACTGCCACCCTATCCCTGCCCGTGGCACAACAGCTGCGGGGCGGCGATCTGCCAGAGACCGCGGCGATCTGCCAGAGACCCATAATTATTCATGCCCCCCTCCCCCAGTCCTCCAGCTTCCAGACCCTGGGCTCCAGCATGTTGGGTGGGGGCTTCTCTTCCCAGAGAAACCAGGGTTTGATGAGCTTAACGCCCCACTGGGAGGCGGACCTGGGTTAGAATTCAGAGGCAGCCACTTACAGACTAACCTCAGGCAACTCCTTCCCTTCCTTGGCCCCAGTTTTCTCATCTGGAAAATGGGTTTACCTAAATCTACTTCCTCAGGGTTGTAGCTGGGCTCCACCTGAGTCCCAGCTCCACCACTACCAGCTGTGCAGCCCTGGGACAACTGCTTAATCTTAAGACCTGTTCTTTATTTGTGAAAAAGAGCTGGTGACAACCTACTCCACAGCTTGATAGTGAGGATTAAATAAATTTGTGTCTCAGTTAACTTAGGCAGCACCCCGGCACTGGGAGCCGCAGATCTGAGCACCTTCATTCCAGTCATTTTTACTGAGCACCCACTGTATGCCCAGTCCTCTTCCTCACCCTGGGCTACAGGCAGACTTCCCTGGCCTCTCGGAGTGGACATCTGAGAAGGGGGAGGCAGACAATACTCAAGTAAAGACCCGTTACGTGCGGAAGGAGGAATCACCTGTGGTGCATCGCGTGAGCGCAGCAGTGGAGATACTGAGTGCTGGGGTTTTTACTTTGGCCAGGGTGGTCAGGGAAGTCCTCTCTGAGGAGGTGACATTTGGGCTAAGGCCTGAGTGATAAGATGGAGACAGTCACACAAGATCTGGGGGAAGAGTAGCCAGGGAGGGGACTAGCAAGTGCAAAGATCTGAGTTTGAGTGCTAGGACAGCAAGGCAGGTTGCTGGGTGGTCAGAGCACGAGAGAGAGGTGGGCTGAAGATGAAGGCAGGAGGCAGGTCACGTAGGGCCCTGTGGCCCATGGTGACAACTATGTCTCTTCCCCTGAGTGAGGTGGAGCCACAGGATGGCTCTGAGCGGGGGAGGGGGGACAGGTGTCCACAGGGTCCCTCTCACTTTGTGGGGGGACAGGGAGTAGGGAGAGTTTGCCACAACTCCAAATGGGAGATAATGATGGACAGGACTGGGGACGGGCCGGGGACGAGAGAGCAAAGGCAGGTTCTGGAAATATTCTGAAGGAGGAGCTGCCAGGGTTTGCTGAAGGACTGGATGTGGATGTAAGAAGAGCTGAGGATGACTGGCAGGGCTGCGGCCCGAGGAGCTGGGAAAGCAGTTCCATGGACTGAGATGGGCACACCTGGGGAAGAGTGACTTCTGGTGTCACCAAGTTTGGGCTGCCTACCAGACCCTTGCTTGGAGCTGGGGACCGAGATGTGAGGTTGACACGGGTCAGCACGAGATGCCACTTGTCCCAGAGTAAGGGGAGAGGCCTTGGCATCCTCTCAGTTCCCTCGGTGGCCCCCAAGCTCCCCTCTACATGCTCTGGGGGGTGCGGGACACTTCCAGCATGATCCCTGCAGCCACATACCCCTGGATGACTCAGCACTCTGAGCAAATGCCCAGCATCCCCGCAAGCTGGCCACACCATCTCCCTTGCTCACAGATCCACAAAGGCCTTTGTTCTGACCGTTTATTGGGGCCTTTCTCTGAGGGAGAGAAGAAGGAAGGAGGAATGGAGGACTCCTCTCCCTCTTTTTCCCCCATCCCTAGGACTTCTGAGTTCCCAGACATCCTGTATCCTAGTGCAGGCTGGGACCCCCAACGACAAGAGTCTGACTGATCCTGGGGAAGAAGGGAAGTAGGAGAGGTGGACCCTGGGGTCCAGGGGCCCCCAAGCTCCAGGAAGCAGTGACAACCCTAGTGGTCAATGAGGATGAGTCCTCAGCGGGAGGCAGGCTGGCCCGGGAGCCTGGGCTTCTGGGGCTGGTTGGGGCCGATATACTGGAGAGGCACGTGGGTGGGGGTCGTGATCCGATCGGTGCCGAGGTAGGGCTGGAGGGCAGGGGGCACAAGCACCGAGCCGTCCTGGGGAGAGAGCAGGCCTCAGGCTGCTGCCCTGCCCAGCCCTCCAGCCTCCACCTCTCTGGGGGCCATCCTCCCACCCCCGCACCTTTTGCTGATTGCTCTCCAGGAGCGCGATGAGGACGCGGGGGACAGCACAGGCCGTGGCATTCACCTGGGAGAGGGACCTGCTCAGACCCAGGCACCAGTCGGTCCAGCCTGGGGAGGGGCTGAGGTGGTGGGTCTCAGGGAGGGGGGGCACTGGGGAGGGTGGGCGAAGGTGTGCGGGCTGACCGTGTGGGCGAACTGCAGCTCCCCGGCCTCCGTCTGGAACATGATGTGGAGACGGCGGCTCTGGAAGTCTGTGCAGTTGGAAGCACTGGTGACCTGGGCATGGGGG